GACCATAAAGATGTATGAGTTGTTGAATGATTCTCACACAACTTGGAGTCTAGGTGGAAATAAGTCGCTTGATAGTCCGGTGAGATGATATTTATTGATACACTAAACTAACACGTCGACTATATTATCAACTAAACTAATGATTGATGAGTACTGATGTATTTGAGTGCTAAACATGTACTGAATACAAATTTATTGCTATAACTATAATGAAATTAATAAATCTGCTGACATGAAGCGCGCGTGCGTGTGATGTACAGTCGCTGACTCGTACAAACATAGTTTACAGATGGCGCTCGGAAGCAACGCTTACAATCTGTCAAGCGAGATAGTGGCCTGACTGAATCTGTGGAAGACTTGCATTTCTTGGCAATTTAGAATTTGTAACAGACACGCTTTGTAGCAGGAAGTGGGCTCGGACCCTCGCCTCGTGGCGGCCGGTGTGGCGAATGATGGCAGTTTTGGAAATTTTATACAAAATATAATCGGTATGGTAAGAGTGCAAGACTAATGAGATAATAACAAGATAGCTTCAAACAATATTATTGATGGTGTTGCGTAAACGAGTAATTTGCGAACCAATCACCAACCACCGAAACTAAATATGTAGGTACGCAAATAGGAATATTTTAAACTAATCAAATTCAATACCATAGGTACTTTTATCGCGATATCACCATAAGTTCCTCTCATACAACTAGAAAAGTGGTCTATATTACAAGACAGGATTTGTCACAGTCCTCAGCGGGGACTTGAGGAACGTTGTTAATGGCCATATTATTACCCAAAGCCCAATACCGAAACAATTTGTTTTTAACGGCAGAAATCCCAATTCCATTAAGAATTTTAACAATCCTCCCGTACCGCATACATAATTCGAACGAGAGTCACAAAAATCCATGTCAGTAAGGCCACTGCAGATACAAGCACACCTGTACAAGGACAGCCCGACTCCATTACAGATATTGTTAGTCGAAGCACTAACCCTAGTGTTACGTACGACGGCAGCTATTACATTAGCCAGTGTAGTCGACGTGTTCCCGGCGCCCGGCGTGTCGGCCCCGCCATATATTATGATATTAGTCCTTCACCTAAATACGTCGTTACACCTTTGTTGCTATTCTTTGTATCGACCGATACAAGCTTTACAGAGATAGCTTCCATAGTCGCTGTGACTCACACCCACGCCGCACTGTCCGTCTGTCCACATGGTTCGCGCAGGGACACAGAATAGGACAGTATGGGACACGAACATGAACTTAGGATTAGGACAAAGTCGAATGTCAGTCAATTCCTTACTTTGATATTCAACTCTTCAACTAGCCGTTATGTCATTAGCGTGCCGGAAACAAATTGTTAAATTGAAGTTTTTTTCGAAATGTCAAACTACAAAAGTTAGTTTTTTTATGGCATAGGAGGCAAACGAGCAGACGGATCACCTGATGGTAAGCGGCCAGCGCCGCCCGAGTACAACCGCATTAAATCGTTATATTTTTATCCAAGGAAATATGAAACATCCCTATTGCAGTTAACTTCTATTGGCTCAGGAGCCTCATACACTCATCTCGAGACCGCAGTGTCGGATTAGAGATCAATAATAACAAATGTCCGTCAGGGCCACAGCAGAGATACCCGCTTGGCGGGCGCTGACCCGCCTCCAGCGACCCGCGCGGCGCCCGCACTTGGCACGCGACGCGACCCACTTCTCTAC